GTGGTAGCACTGTTCTCCAACACCACATCTGGTTTCAGAGCAGCTGCAGGACAGAAACGGGACATTTGTGAGCAGAATGGATGAAGAAAGAGAACTTTTTCATATCTCACAACTTCAGAAAACTAAGTAACAAACAATTTTTGCACATTCAAAAACAAGAACAATGCGTGTTATGAGGAGTTTAGATGTTCTTGCATGCATTTGCACTGCACATTTAATCAGACATTGAATAATGCATGAGCGTAATCTTTCAAATAAGTGTAGCCATTCTTTCTTGTATTTCATCTATGTAGTTGTAGCTGGTGTTATGAATTCAATACACCCCCAAAAGACTGGCTTTCCATCCAGTTCTTTTTGGCACTGAACTGAAAATGTTCCTTTTTCCAAGTAATCAGAGGTACATAAAATTAAGTGTTAGCGCAATTATATTGCATTTCGGCTTCCAAAGGCACTTTAAGTGAGCCTGAGAAAAGGAGGAAAAAGTCTGAATACAAAATCACAAAAGGCTCCGACTGCCGCTCGCTGCTCTTCAAGTCATGTGACTCATTCACTCGCACCTGACAGTTTGATCAGTTCACTCGTTTGGAAGCTACTGCATTTCCTGTAAAGATGGTGACTTCACTTATACATGCAACTGAACTGTGCAACATTATGTCTATATAAAGCAATACATTACAGACATTTAGAAGCTTTTTATGTCAAATAAATCATGTTTGTAATCCATATTAGATTGTGCTTTTGTGCTATACTATTCAACTACTGTATAGAAAATGAGTAAATAAAGTCCTAATCTTTGCTCTGATCATATTAAAGATGGCTTTTTGGAATAAAAATTGAAAACATGAGCGGAAAATGTCGTAACATACAGAAATACATGGCTATTAAAATCTATGATCTTACCTCCTACACAAAGTGCAACACAAAGGTTGGCCACATAGACCATAGCAGGAACGCTTCCTCCAGAAAGGAGTAAAGGCACGTAAACAAGTTACCTTTGGTTTGACTATGGCTTTCTTTGGTTTAACTCTCAGTGATGGAGGCGCCATGGTGACCTCTCCAAACAGTACCTCATCTAAGAGAAACAGAAATGATGGAATATGAATATGTTTTGCGATTTAAAGCTTAAATTTTACAGGGTAAAGCTCACAAAATGAATGCATGCCTTTAAACATTTCCTCCTCCTCACGCTCCTCTGCTGGTTTAGCTTCTTTTTCTGTTGCAGAAGTTTCCCTTTATGGAACCTAAAACAAAGACAAATACACTTTAACACACTAATGCAGCGTTAGAAATTAATGCAGTCTTTATTTATAGAATTACTATAGGAGTAAAGGCACGTAAACAAGTTACCTTTGGTTTGACTATGGCTTTCTTTGGTTTAACTCTCAGTGATGGAGGCACCATGGTGACCTCTCCAAACAGTACCTCATCTAAGAGAAACAGAAATGATGGAATATGAATATGTTTTGCGATTTAAAGCTTAAATTTTACAGGGTAAAGCTCACAAAATGAATGCATGCCTTTAAACATTTCCTCCTCCTCACGCTCCTCTTGCTGGTTTAGCTTCTTTTTCTGTTGCAGAAGTTTCCCTTTATGGAACCTAAAACAAAGACAAATACAATGTTTGCTAAATAGTGCAACTGTGAAGGAACAAAATGGTTTTCCACAAGGACGCAGGTGACTGTGCATGGATAAAAATAAATAAATAAAATTAAATAACTATAAACTTTTTTTGTAAATGTATAAGAAAAAAACTACAATTAATTTCTTAAAAAAATAGAATAAAGTATAAACAACATATATTTTCAGTACTATACAATAGTCCCACAACCAAAATACATTTCCATGACTTTTACAGTCATTTATGTCTATGAATACACTGTCTATGAAGGTGGCATTTTCAGGTTTTCAAAACATAGTAAATATTCATACATTTTCCTGTGGAGAGTTTCCCTGTAATAAGAAATTACTAATTCTGAAGGGTGCAAGGATAACCATCACATCTCTCTAGGCTAACCGAAAAACAAAGCTCTGCACTAACTTTACCATTTCTGTCAATACATATGGTTAAAATAATTCTGCTTGTTAGTATTCTTCATTTTATTCATGTTTACCACTTGACATGATTTCCAGACATAGCCACAATTCTCCGAAACACCGTTATTGGAGAAGTTTTAAGCCACTGATTTACCTGAAATGTTTCTCGTTCTTCTGTTGTTTGAGTTGTTTTTCTGTTTTCATTGTGTGTTTTTAAGTAAATAGCGTCTCCCCCAGTTGACTGTAAACTCACTGCCACTCTCTGGTGATGAAGGAACTCGCACCGTCGGCGCGGACTCTGAGGTAAATCTTTTTTCTCCATTTAGTCTGGTCAAAAACACACATTTTACGGCTTTTTAGTGAGTTTCTTCTCGGTGCCCATTTCTTACATGTATTTTCAATGTGATTATCCAAGTTCATGAACTTATTTCTCTCATTTAATTCCTCCACTGTTGCCATAATATTGCGATTTCTGCCAATATTATTTACCGCTCAAGAAGACCACTGTAGTAATGTCAGGTCATCACTGTAATAAATATTTTGCTTAATTATTTACATGATGTTATATTTAAGATGTAACTGGTTCATGACCACACAACCAGACTATAGACGAGATTTAGTCACGTTTATCAACAGGCTAAATAAAATCGCAGTTGGGGAAAAAACAATATCATTTTAATTGTGCTTTAGTTCCTTCCTGTTCCTGACTTTGTTGACCTATCTTTCTGGGCTTGTCTGAATCACATATTTCCTCTTTCCTTTATTTCTGCTACTGTTGGATCAAACATTGTCTTTGACTCTAACCATTTTAATCAGGAGCAACTATACCACACCTTTCCTTCTGTAGTGCATTGACATCCGTTATAAAAATTGGTTCTGAACATACGTATGATTTCAGAATTACATCATGAGGTGCTATATCTTGGTGAAGTTCAATGTGCTATGAATTCATGACCAACTAAGCTGACAAAATTTGGGAATATACAATATAATTAAGTGTCATCTGGGAAGAAATTGTTAAATGTGCGACTGGTGGAGCACTTGTGAAAGTGATATGTCTGGAAATTGGTGTATTTAGACATACTGGTGGATGATTTTAAACATTAGCTCAGAGCTTACATTCAGAACATATATTATGTGACTAACATTGTTGTCTATATCTGCAGAGAGCTGCTGAGGAACCCCTGAAGATTCCTCCACCAATCTGAAAATTTTCTGAAGTGGACATCTGTGAAGATCCGATCACCTGGCTGTGTTAAAGAGGTCTATTGAGGAAAAAAGTTCTGGAAAAATCAAGAGAAAGAGGCTTCATCACATTTCCTGTCTCGACGTAATCTTAATCTCTATTCTTTTGAGACAGTATTGACAGTATGAGTCAGTAAGTTAAAAAACCAAGAGAACCGGAGGTAGTTTTGTCTAGAAACCTACATTTGCAAATTCCACCTTGCTGAACAATCTTAACTCATAAAGAAGTGTTAGATATTTACTGCCAGCTCAGCGTCTAAAATCTAGCATGAGTAGATGGTCTAGTCACACACATAAACTCATCAGTCCACAATTTGCATGAGTCTAGTTTTTAGAGATGAGCAAGGAAAATATGTTTTGAGAGTTACAACAGATATTGCGACTACTTTAGCACACATGTAAAAGCATAAAAAACAGAAAACAAATAAATGTATTTTGCAATTCAGATTGGGGCATCTAGTGGTGCAGAAATCGCACACTTCACCTTTAACTTCTGAAGGACCTCATGTCCATTCTCAATTTGGATATCCACAGGAATGCTTTAACCAAGTCAGTTTCGTTTGCTGTGCAAATAATAAATATCCCCCAATGCCAGAAGCTTCATTTAAATGGATTCCTTATCACTGGTGGTGGCTGCCTTTCAGAAAATTATTTTATTTCTAAAATGGTCTTGAGCTAATATTTACAGATGCTAAAGAAGGCACTTGTGGTGAAAGAGAGCACAAGATGAGCCCTAGCTCTGAATTAAGCCTCCAGATACCACACTGCTCCAAAACGGATGAAACTGGCCACTGACGCAAATCCTGAGAGACAGTGTGCAATCCAAGACACCGCCACATATTTCCCTCCTCTGTGTGTCTCTGTCTTGTATTTTTTTATGTCTCTGTTAACAGGACTTCTCAGAAGTGACTGCAATGTGTCATTATGTTACATTACAGGTTCTTTAAATAGAGTCATCATGCATATTTGTTTGTAAGTGAATGGATACAGTGGTAATAAAAAGTTTTTGGACACTAAAGATGCAATTAAAAATGTATAAATGTCTTTGCATTATATAACAAAATATCAAAACAAGGGGTTATCACAAACACTTTCTAGTGAAAACATTTCACAAAATGAAGTTTGTTGGGTTTCAACCTATGAAGCAATCAGCAGATATGCATATTTTTGTGCACATATACGTATGTTCAAAATAAAGACAAAACGTCTTGGACACTTTCTGATTGTCAGAGTTTGTGAAGCATGTTCATGTGTTACAGTAATATGATGACACCTGTGTGAAACTGAGAACTGATATAAAACCACAGAACCACAGTTGATTAGAAATGTTTGAAAAAGTAACTCAGAAAATGAAGTTAGTTCTGAGAAAAGCTTAAGCATCTTTTGTTTGCACATGCCTCTTGGTTTGAAAATTTGTGTCTAGTGCAGAGAAATTGAGACATTTTTAAGCGTGACTTACTGGTAAGCGTCCAAATACTTTTTTGAGGCCACTGTACATACTGCTAATTTACATGTGTACACGTCTGTAGTTTTTAATTGCAAGAGAAAGTGATGATTATCAAACATAGGAGGCTGACACTGCCATTGCTATCTTGCTCTAAAGGTAACCAGGGAGGTTATTGGCAATAAATAGTTGTTGTCACTGTGTGAGGTCTTGGGGAAATGATACCTCTGTGTGTGTCCTCTCACATTTACATGCACTCATATTCACATTCCAGGTTTCATACAGACTGTGCAGAGGTGCTGGAGCCGGGATGTCTTGACCAGAGTCTCATGTCCAGTGTCCACTGTTCCTGTCTATGACAGGCCAAAGCCAACTGCAGAGAAAGAGAAAAAATGTATATCAGCAGAATGAAAGATGCAATGAAAGTGGGAGGATTTACACATCACCATAGAATCCCAGCGGAAATTACACACTTTAACTTCAAGTGTGTAATTTCTGTGCCTCTAGCAGCACCAAACAGAATTGCAAAAATAAAGTACCTGTGCCTTAAAGGTGTTAAAGTGATGTTTAACAGGGTGCAAAATAGAGTCACTTGCTCATTTGTGATTTTACCTCTTGGCAACCTTTATATTCTCAAGGTTCCCATGATCTGTCAGCAGCAGGAAGGGGTTTTGAGCTTCGCTTTCACCTGGCTACACTCTTTCAATGCACCCTTCATGATGAGCACTGCCCAATTCCCCACCTCGCAATTATGGTCTGTAGGAACAAGCTTCTAAAAATGTAATGTGGCCAGGTCACCAGGTCGGATACAGCATGGCAGTCGCTTAAGTGTCTATTTCCACAATTAATTTATACAATTTGGAGTAGATTCTGATTTAAAATACCTATTCAGACATCAATTTTCAATGCTTAGTGTGTGGATTTACCTCAACATGCAAGAAATTCACTTGTAGACCATGATGTGAACTGAAATGACCTAGTTCAAACTCTCCTACATAACACTTACTCTAAGGGCCAGTGAGACGACTTTACCCCAACAAAGGGATGTGCCAGATAGTGAATTAGTGGCACATTTCCATGGGCAAATTGAACATAATTGAGAGGCTTTTTGTCTTACAGAATGCTTTCTTTCTCTGCCATCTAGATACTACTTTTACCTCTGTGCTCTCTACCGTGGTATGTAATTCCTATACAGGGGCGTAATTTAGGGGGGGATATAACCCCCAATAATCAAAACTAGCAAGTACAACCCCCCAATATTTATACCATGGTTAATGGAAACCTAGAATCAGGCTATTAATTAATAGTTTAAATCGCGCCTTCAGCACTTTTATAAGCGCTAACTTTACTTACGAACCAAATGGAGCACTTATCAGCACAATATGACTGAAGCACAGTTCATGAGCGGCGTGCGAATCGACGTGTACTCCGTGTGCGTAGGACGATTCTAAGGGCCTGACGATGGAGGGGGGCCCCCCGAGGGGAAAACACGATTTCTATCGAGGGGTACCCCCCACGGAACGTGATTTACCGAGGGGAACACGGAATGTATCTGTACGGAGGGGGAACAATCCGTAAATAAACTGAAAAGACTTGAACCAGCACTAACATATGGCTTATTAAAATCTTTTTAAACTACTCATGATCCCCTTTACTAGAATTTATCACGTTTTATTGTAGGCTTATTTATTGTGTAAAATTTAGTCTAACTTGTTGTAGAATTTATATTATATAATCTGTTAAGGGAATAGATTTTTTCCCTATAGATTTATATTACAACTGTGGCATGTTGTATTGGTTCTAAATGTGCAGGCGGTTGTTTCTTCATAACAAATGCTATATTGATTAATTAAAAAAAAAAAAGTCATTATTGGCCTGGCAATGATTAATAGGCTAGTCTTATTACAACAAATGCTACAGTTAAGAACTATGGTACACGGCCTTCAGATATTCCAAAAGATGGCATTGATTAAATCATGAAGAACCTGATGAACTGTTAAGGAGTAAGAAATAAACAATATAAATATAAGAAAACGTTAAGTTAGATTGACTTCCCATGGCATGTTGAATTAGAACATTCTGTCAAACTACAGCCTATAAGTGCACTAGCCCCTCACTGCAGAACACAAGATCGGTGGAGATTGGTAGGTTTAGGGGTGGAGAAGGATGGGTTTAGGGATCAGGGGGTGGAGACGGGTAGGTTTAGGAATATGTAAGGTGGGAGGAGTTGGATCTGATCCAACCACGCCCCCTGTATCTTGTGTTCTGCAGTGAGGACCATTTCTATAAGTGCCTAAATAATATAAAATACAATATACTGTATATATCCTATGTAAAAAAAAGGAATTGTTAACTATGATGTTACTTTATTGCAGTTATGTTATCAACCAACTTTGCGTAGATGATAGCACAAAAGACCATTTCACAAAATAAATATATAAGCAAACAAACAAATAAATAAACCTAATGAGTGAGCATGACCCGGAACTCTACTAAAACAGTTCACACTTTAACCCCCCCAATGTTCAAACCAAAACTACGCCTTTGTTCCTATACAATTTTCTAGATACAATGGCCTCCACTAACAAATTGTACCTAGCTTCCAACAAATTAAAAATTATTGGTAATTGGCCTTGGGTAACCTAACGCCACAGGAGTGGATGGGATATAGGAGAAAAATTGATTCAACGTAGAACAATCAGACTTCTTGTCCTATAGTGTGCAGGTGTGCAGGCGGTTGTTTCTTCATAACAAATGCTATATTGATTAATTAAAAAAAAAAAAGTCATTATTGGCCTGGCAATGATTAATAGGCTAGTCTTATTACAACAAATGCTACAGTTAAGAACTATGGTACACGGCCTTCAGATATTCCAAAAGATGGCATTGATTAAATCATGAAGAACCTGATGAACTGTTAAGGAGTAAGAAATAAACAATATAAATATAAGAAAACGTTAAGTTAGATTGACTTCCCATGGCATGTTGAATTAGAACATTCTGTCAAACTACAGCCTATAAGTGCACTAGCCCCTCACTGCAGAACACAAGATCGGTGGAGATTGGTAGGTTTAGGGGTGGAGAAGGATGGGTTTAGGGATCAGGGGGTGGAGACGGGTAGGTTTAGGAATATGTAAGGTGGGAGGAGTTGGATCTGATCCAACCACGCCCCCTGTATCTTGTGTTCTGCAGTGAGGACCATTTCTATAAGTGCCTAAATAATATAAAATACAATATACTGTATATATCCTATGTAAAAAAAAGGAATTGTTAACTATGATGTTACTTTATTGCAGTTATGTTATCAACCAACTTTGCGTAGATGATAGCACAAAAGACCATTTCACAAAATAAATATATAAGCAAACAAACAAATAAATAAACCTAATGAGTGAGCATGACCCGGAACTCTACTAAAACAGTTCACACTTTAACCCCCCCAATGTTCAAACCAAAACTACGCCTTTGTTCCTATACAATTTTCTAGATACAATGGCCTCCACTAACAAATTGTACCTAGCTTCCAACAAATTAAAAATTATTGGTAATTGGCCTTGGGTAACCTAACGCCACAGGAGTGGATGGGATATAGGAGAAAAATTGATTCAACGTAGAACAATCAGACTTCTTGTCCTATAGTGTGCAGGATTTAGTCTAACTTGTTGTAGAATTTATATTATATAATCTGTTAAGGGAATAGATTTTTTCCCTATAGATTTATATTACAACTGTGGCATGTTGTATTGCTTCTAAATGTGCAGGCGGTTGTTTCTTCATAACAAATGCTATATTGATTAATTTAAAAAAAAAAAGTCATTATTGGCCTGGCAATGATTAATAGGCTAGTCTTATTACAACAAATGCTACAGTTAAGAACTATGGTACACGGCCTTCAGATATTCCAAAAGATGGCATTGATTAAATCATGAAGAACCTGATGAACTGTTAAGGAGTAAGAAATAAACAATATAAATATAAGAAAACGTTAAGTTAGATTGACTTCCCATGGCATGTTGAATTAGAACATTCTGTCAAACTACAGCCTATAAGTGCACTAGCCCCTCACTGCAGAACACAAGATCGGTGGAGATTGGTAGGTTTAGGGGTGGAGAAGGATGGGTTTAGGGATCAGGGGGTGGAGACGGGTAGGTTTAGGAATATGTAAGGTGGGAGGAGTTGGATCTGATCCAACCACGCCCCCTGTATCTTGTGTTCTGCAGTGAGGACCATTTCTATAAGTGCCTAAATAATATAAAATACAATATACTGTATATATCCTATGTAAAAAAAGGAATTGTTAACTATGATGTTACTTTATTGCAGTTATGTTATCAACCAACTTTGCGTAGATGATAGCACAAAAGACCATTTCACAAAATAAATATATAAGCAAACAAACAAATAAATAAACCTAATGAGTGAGCATGACCCGGAACTCTACTAAAACAGTTCACACTTTAACCCCCCCAATGTTCAAACCAAAACTACGCCTTTGTTCCTATACAATTTTCTAGATACAATGGCCTCCACTAACAAATTGTACCTAGCTTCCAACAAATTAAAAATTATTGGTAATTGGCCTTGGGTAACCTAACGCCACAGGAGTGGATGGGATATAGGAGAAAAATTGATTCAACGTAGAACAATCAGACTTCTTGTCCTATAGTGTGCAGGGTTTTTTTTCTTAGCTGAAACCTTATTATCTTAATTATTTACTCGAAGTATCCCCTGAGTTTCAGGTATGCTCTAACCTGCTAATAAAAATAATTAATTTATAATGAATAATAATAGATTTAACAACTGATTTTTATTTTTTTTAAATATTCATTTATTTAGTTTCATTTGGCATTTCAATCACAGTCTCACAAACCACCTGTAGTTCCATCATACACCCCTAGAGGCTAATAAACCTTGTGTTGGAAATGGGTTATCTATGCTCAGCAGGGAATCATTGTTATTTGTACAGCTAATATGACTCCGGAAATATTTTCATGCTTCTTCTTACACTTTATTACTATAAAGTTTCTGTATTCCACGCATACTGCCCATGATCCTACGTCCTGTTATTGTACAACTCCAGACATGCAAAACATGTCATGTAGAAATGCGCTTAAAAAAAAAAAAGAGATGGAAAAAGTCTATGGTCGGGATGTACTTCCTATTGGGACAACAGGAGAATGTGCGTGTGACCAGAGAATCCCACAATTTAAGGATGTGACAGAAGTGAATTGCATCGTCGAGACCTATAAGCAGTTCAGTACAGAAACACTGAACAGACTAGCAGGTTCCAGCACCTGAGCATAACAATCTAAATCACCCAGCTGCCAAAGCAAAGAGTACCACGAAACAATAACAAAACCACAGTAGCTACAA